TGCTATTCCATACATAACCCTATACTGTATACTTTATGAATCAATAAAAAATTTATAATTTTTAATTATAAACCTGTGTTTTCTATCAAAATTACTTCTTGCGTGAATTTTGGGACACCCTATATATGGTGGGTCCTTCGACTAAAAGTTCCTGATTTCTCCACATCCCTTCCTCCTGGACATGCAAATACCATCTACAAAGGGGCTGTGTGCCCTAGTAGCTGGGCACAGCATTCTCTGCTGAATGAGTGCTACAGGTCTTAGCACCGCTGGAGAAACTGGAAGGGAAAGGGAAAGGTGAGCCCGTGCCCACAGCACCTACCTGTCGATTCGTCGAATTTCTTGTTGTTTATTATGATGCATTTGCCCACCTTCTTAAAATTCATGCTATACTGATATGTAGGCTCTTGCTCCTGGGTGGTCTTGTTGGATTTCCCAGAGTCATTTTTCTTCTTCATACTGGGGAAACAGAAAGCCAGTCAGGGGCTGTGGGGGAAGCCTGGACATGAATGGCCCCTTGCTTTTACTATCAGCATGAAAGGGGCGGCCAAGGAAGCTGCAGTATCTATGACGGAAAGACCTCGGGCAGACAGATGGCTCTGTTTAATCATCACATTTAAAAGGAACGTGCATCTTAATTGCATTAGTTGCCAGAGAAAAAAATCACAATGCAATACCAGAACGGCTGCACCTGTGGGTGACCGTGCGCGCAGCACCTGAAATTGTCACACATGGTTGGGGAGAACCTACTTTGTGTGGTCAAGGGCAGAAGTCTTTGAAAACTGAACTTAAATATATCCTGTGACAGAGCAATTCCACTCCTCGGCATGTGCCCCAAAGTGAGCCAACGTGTGCCCCAAAAGACAGACCATAGCATGCGTAGAAATAACCCAAATGTCCAATCACAGTAAAAAGGGTAAACTGCTCAACATTCGTAGAAGGCAACAGCAGATAACAAGGAGAGTGAACAAACCATGACAGCATGAAGCCACAGGAACGAACCTCACAAATACAATCCTGAGTGAAAGAACCAAGATTTAAAACAGCGGTTCTCAACCTGTGGGTCGCGAACCCCTTTGGGGGTCGAACGGCCCTTTCACAGGGGTCGCCTAAGACCACTGGAAAACACATATATAATTACATATTGTTTTTGTGATTAACCACTATGCTTTAATTATGTTCAATTTGTAACAATGAAATTGGGGGTCACCACAACAAGAAGAACTGTATTAAAGGGTTATGGCATTAGGAAGGTTGAGAACCACTGACTT